ACCCATATAAGAGCATTGGTAAAACTATACTCTCATACATTCCCCTCTTTGCCTCCAAGGACAAAGTTCTTTGTCTCCACAGACTCCTAAGTGCACCACTCACCCTTTTCCCCTCATCAATTCTATGATTCACCTCATCTTTCATAGACCCATCCGCTGACACGTCCACTCCCAAATATCTGAATACATTCACCTCCTCCATACTCTCTCCCTCCAATCTGATATCCAATCTTTCATCACCTAATCTTTTTGTTATCCTCATAACCTTACTCTTTCCTGTATTCACTTTTAATTTTCTTCTTTTGCACACCCTACCAAATTATGATGAATGTGTTTTCCTATTTTTTGGATCACCCCCTTTGATGGGAGACAGCCAGTGTCAAAAAAAAAAAAAATGTGACCAATCTCGAAAGTTCTTTTATCCTCATAGCCAGACCTGACACAAGACTTCCTTACTGACTGCCTGGTCAACCAGGCTGCTGCTGCTAGTGACTCACAGCCATCACAGCTTGGCTGATCAGGCACTCGTGCAGATAGAGGCACAAGTGTCCTCTTAATAACTTCTAACTGCCTTATTATCACATTTGGTAAAGTTTAATGGTGTGGATTTTAGTCTTCCATTATTTGCCTTTCAAATACATTAGTGTTTATGTGGCTCCTTGCAAATGGCAGTCTTGGAATGTTGAAAAACTAATTATTTTGAAATGCATGCTATGAACACATGTGCTTCCCAGCTGATATCTTGATCTTGCAGATGAGCAAATGAACTGATTTAGGCAGTACATGTACTTAGAGAGGACTTGTCCATAGTTCAGTTTTTGTTATTTGGAAATTGGCCTGCTATGAGTCAATGTTCTGCTACATCATTAATCTCCAAAATTAACTACCAATGTCAAATTCATTTTTCCAAGTAGGGCCTAAGCCATGTGAAGAAATTCCTGGTATCTATACAAAAGAAACTGTGTATGCACATCAATGCTTTGCAAGCACTCAAGAGCAGTTTAGAAAAAAAAAGACATGATTACTTTCATGCAACTGATGTACAAATTTCTGGCCAATGAACTCATCTGTTGTATGGGAATTTTATAGTAAAACAATCTGCTACACCTTTTTCTGACAGCTGCTCCATCCTTCTCATGGACTGGTTCCATCTATATTTCTGTAATCTTGGAGGGCAGAACAAATCCAATAAACAATTTTCAACCTGCTTTCTAACAGTCTTGGTAATAAGTGAAAAATAGGCTCATCTTTATGCACTGGCAAAATGGAGTTTTAAAATAATGGAATAAAGCAGTTCACAAGAGTTTTACAAAATTCTGAGACACATTTTCTGGGAATTCACAAATTCATTTACACAAAACAATTTCACTTCTCTTTTCTTGAGATCTTGTCCAATGTCCTGTTTCTTATGAGCTGCCTCCTAAGGCATTCTTGCTGATCTGGAAAGCACTGGGATCATTATGACCTAAATTATAAAACAAATGGTTTAGTTGGAGTTGTGACTTGACCCCTACAACCACAAATAGATGAGTAAAGTGTGAGGTAGCGAAAGACACTGAAAGAATGTATTTTTGCTTCTCATGGGATGGACAAGACTAGACCACTGTGGAAAGCATAAGATTACCAGCGTATTAAGGTTTGGAAGATGGTGCTCTTCATCACAATATCTGACACAATGATTCACAGCACATACCAAATAAACTATCATATTTAATTCTAACAACCATTGTCAACACACTAAAAAACTATGCATAAAAAACATCAAAAGCTGTGAAGCAAGAACACTAATGCAAAACAACACTGTTTCAACACCGATGAATTTACAGCTTCAGGCCATAATTGATCTCTGCCACTCAGAATGTCCTTTACACAAACTGCTAATATTAACTAATTAAGAAGCACCAATATACCAATAATGCCCATGGGGCAATTACAACAATTCTGTTAATAGAGGGGGGAAATATAATTGAGAATTATTTATAGTAATGTTAATAATCCCACATGTACAAATTTATAGCTCCACAAAGAATCGTGTCTGTAGCAAAGAGCAACTGCAGCACCTTGCACCCTGTATCAATTTTTTTTTTTTTAAATGCTGGCTGTCTTCCAATGAGGCAATGTGAGCCGAAAAAAATGCTTTCACCATCATTCACACTATCAATGTCTTGCCAGAGGCACTCGAATACAACAGTTGAGATGTCTCTCCGAACAGCAGATATCCCTAACCCATCCTTTAGAGAGCAGAAACTGGACTTCCCACCTCCAGGACTCAAATCCGGCTAACTGGTTTCCCTGAATCTCTTCACAAAATGTTACCCTGCTCACACTCCAACAGCTCGTCAGGTCCCAAAAAGCCATTTGCCTCCACTCACTCCTGTCTATTTCTTCTTTCAACAAACCGGCTGTATCCCACCGAAGCAGGGTGGCCCAAAATGAAAAACAAAAGTTTCTCTTTTTAACTTTAGTAATATATACAGGAGAAGGGGTTACTAGCCCCTTCGTCCCAGCATTTTAGTCGCTTCTTACAACACGCACGGCTTACGGAGGAAGAATTCTGTTTCTACTTCCCAATGGAGATAAGAGGAAATAAATAAGAACAGGAATTAGTAAGAAAATAGGAGAAAACCCAGAGGGGTGTGTTTATATATATATATGCTTGTACATGCATATGTAGTGTGACGTAAGTGTAAGTAGAGTAGCAAGACATACCTAAAATTTTACATGCTTATGAGACAGAAAAAAGGACACCAGCAATCCTACCATTATGTAAAACAATTACAGGCTTTCATTTTACACTCACTTGGCAGAACAGTAGTACCTCCCTGGGTGGTTGCTGTCTAGCAACCTACTACGTAATGTTATTTTTATGTTGTCAGTATTTGGCCTAGCCTAAGAGGCAACTGAAGGAAATTCTGATTTACTGAAAACTAATTGTCTAAACTTCATGAATTTTTCACAGAATGAATTTAAAAACATCACAGTGATTAAAAAATAAAAATACCAAAAAATAATTTTTTGTATGGTAACACTCAAAAACTTATTCATCAAAAAACTTTACTTCAAAAATGTCAACTGTACTTCACACAATTTTTTTTTTAGACACAAATCTAAATTTAGAGAATAAAGTAGTATTTTTTAAGTATATGAATCAATTTTCTAAAATTTTGACAGTGAATGACTGAATTTTGCATATATCCAAAAAAATCAGATAATTTCAACAATAAATGGCTAAGATGTAATCATTTGAAGGAACAAAAATTGATAACAGTACTCAAGAGAATCCACTCACTTCTTGAGCCAGCCAGGCTGACACTGACACTATAACATACCACAACATACTGTAACCATGATTTCTTTTCTCACTGATGTCAAATATTTTGTAGTGTGGAACAATACTCTTCTCCAGACTGAGGGACTGACCACCTCAAAACTTCAAGGGTGATGGACTGATTACATTGTCTTCATGTCTCTTCTGCTTCTATCAACTTTACTATACTCGTCTGAAGAAGTCTACTGTGTAGGCGAAACGTTTCGAAATAAAGATACCTAACTGTTGCATGTGTGTCTTACCTAACAACAAATATTTTGTAAATCTATATCAATTTTTAGTGAAAAAAAAAAGAAAACAGATTTGTTAAAATATAAATGAAAAAATCATCTACATATATTGCCAGTCACTCAGGAATGATGTCATCACAGCAAAATATAAATTACCAATAAAATCACTCAGATATGTCCTAGTGACAAGAATCTTACACAGGCATGTAATGACAAATCTTGACTATTTTATAACCATGCATCACAAAATCATAATTTCTTTTAATAAATTTTGTCAAAAGTTTGGACTTCTTACATCTGCCCCTTAAGACTGCCCAAAATACTATGCATAGCTATGGGCTTTTCCATGTAAGAAACATATGCTGTTAACCCACTAATGCATGTTCTAGGGAAATAAAGTTGTCATCATTATCAGACGAGTAACTTGCAGGATGCCACCTAAATGTTTACTTTTTCATTGCTCTAAGAACATGGCACAAAATTTTTTCTGATTTTCTTCCCTGGAACTCTTCAGACGATTCAAGAATTTTATGATTTCTCTACGGTCAGTACCTCTTGTAAATTTCTTTTCTTTTGAGCCTGCATCTGTAGCCATTTGTGTTTCTCTGATACTAAATCCTCTGCTGTACCTTGTAGTGCAAAATGCTCAAATCCGGTGGCAGCTCATCCAAAGGAGCTGCAGTCTCCCCAGATGCTCACTGCCAGACGTATGACTTCGTCAACCTTATGCTAAAATAATTTGCAACTGACAAATATATTACAGGCAAAATCTATTGTATGTTGTTTTCAATGTATTCATAAGCAAAATTTTATTTTTGTTGAAACGAGATAAAAAGTGATTAAAATCAGAAGTTTGATGCGGTACGACAGTATAGGTATTACTGGCGCTACAAGCCGCCACTGCTCAAATCCCAAGAGAGTAAAGATAGAACATGTTTTAATATTTATCATCCTTTCACAGAAGGCACTAAACCTGTATAGACCATTTGGTGGAGAGCATGGTAGAAGCTCAGTCCTATAAAGATGGTACATATTTATTATACGCTTCATCTATGTAAGAAAAAATCTAAGCATGCTACAAATTTTGCCACATTGTGTTTCAGCCATGAAGTTACTGTAGTTACTTTTTTGTCAATGTACCAGTATATATATATTCTTTGCATCAAGAAAGTCAAGATGCTCATTACTAATACAATGTGACTTGTGGAGTACTGGTGAGCTGGATATTTCTTTCCTTCATACACATGATGAAAAATAGTAATACTACTAAAATTTGCCACAAAACAAAATTAAAAAGAGCAAAAAAACAAAAAATAGTCAAGCAACAAAATGATAATATAAATTTACATTACTGCAACTTAGGTAGATAAGCAGGAGCCTAAAATGCTCTAGAACACAAATCAACCACTGTAGTACAGAAAATACCTCTATACCGCACTTACCTTCACGCTTCAAGACACCAACAGGGACCATAACAGTGGGAGGGGGAATAGCAGCTGAAGCTGCTACCTGCTGAGGAGGGGGCACACGAGAACAGTACTCCATAGGATTATTAGGGTCTGGTGGGTGTCGCTGGCTGTCGGACTGTTGCCGACTCTGCCTTATTTCTCTGTCATGTGCATCATCTTGCCCTTCAAAATAAAAAATTAGTGATTTCATTATCCTGTTAACATACACTATTGTACTTCCCATTTCTCTTTTACAAAATTTATTCTCACCAAGATAGCATGACCCAAAGAAGGAAACACATTTGTCATCATTCATTCTCTAGTTGTTCTTTTAGAAGTGCATAAACACCACAGTTAAAATGACCCTTTGAACTGCATGATCCATACTCATCTTTCAGGCCTTAGGTCTGTATTACCCACCTCCACAACCGAAGTCCAGCTAATCATTTTCCATGAATCCCTTCGTGAAGTATTACCTTGCTCATGCTTCAGCAGCATGTCAAATCCTAAAACTCCTTGTCATCACTCACTCCAATCTAACATACAGTACTCAAACATGCCTGCTTGATGGTCAAGCCCATAACATTTAAAATACTCACACCTTCCTTCCAAAATTTCCTGGGATGTCATCTACATTTCCTCTCATCCACCCTCAAATTTATACACCCCCTTGATGACCCTATCTTCCTTCTTCCTTTCTAAATGACCAAACCCCTCCTCTGTCCTCTGAATTAACCTCATTCTAATTACCTTTCTCCTTATTTTCTGCAGAATACTCATATCAAACACTTATTTCAAACACACCAGTTCCACTGCCTGTACCTCCTCTCTGCTGCCTCACATCCATACAAATATGTATGTTAGTACTGTACCATTATACTCTGGTAAGTAAACAGCAATCAACAAGGGAGATATTACCATATCCTCTCATACAAGTGTGAAATGCATACAGATAGCAAAATGGTAGACAAATACCCAGGGAGGTACCACTGTCTTATTATGCAAACACGAAACTGAAGCCTGTCACATTTTGCAAAATGTCACGACTGCTGGTCTTCACTGCTTCATGATACATAAGATGACAGGTAAATCCTGCAAATATCTTGCATTCACATGTACTCCATGTATACAAATGAGCATTCTTATGACTGGTTTCAGGGGTTCTATCCTCAGACTGTCCGAGGCCAGACCTCTTTTTTTGTTTTGTCGAGGTCCCAGGAAGACGAGTCCTATTTCCCTGTATATTCTTCAATTTGAATAACATTAATTTGGATAAAATGCCACATTTCAAGAGAGGGCAACAGGCACATTACTTGAGGAGGTCACTTTACTGTATACAGCCTCTCCTCACTTAACAACAGGGTTCCGTTCCTAACAGTAGGTCGGTAAGCAAACTGATCGTTAAGTGAGGAGCATACTATACTGGTATTGGTTTCTGTCACCTTTGCAGCATTTATAACATTTCTGGTATATTTTTAAATGTTTATACAGTGGTTTACTGTATACTGTAAGAAACAGAATATTTAGGTTTGCATACTGGTTGGAGAGCTGGTCATAAGTCTGAGTGGTCGGTAAACAAGTACGTCACTAAGTGAGGAGAGGCTGTATTATGTTTTGCTGAAGACAACATATTAAATAAATTGCACATTAGGCAACTTCACTATCTTAGCACTGCAAGAAAGGGTGTGAGAAAGGGTGGGTGGATGTAAAGAAAAAGCCTCTCACATGGATCAGTGTACAGGAGGGCCCTGTTTTATGGTGCTTTGCTTTATGGCAATTCGTTTATATGGACATTTCAAATTATGCCCAAAAATTTATTTAAAACGACCATGATTAGCTATTACAGCATCTGCACACCACTTGTTCACTCTCAGTTTGTTTACATCTCTCTGTGAGCTCGGGATCTCTCAATTATGTCTGGAAATTTTCCCCAAGTTTTGAGTGTTCAAAAAGTCAGTGTATATTTAATATATATACTCTGTGTTACAATGCCATCTAGGAATTTAAAAAAAAAAAAAAAAGTTTTTTTTTTCTTATAAAATTTGGTAGAGAATCTTTTTCTAAAGTAATAAAAAAAAAGTATGAAATTTGATGGAAAACTGATGAATGGAACAAAGTAGAATGACTTGGAGAGTTGTATAAATCTATTGGGGAAGGGAAAAGTCGGGGTAGCGGTCATCCTCAAAAAGGTTGGAGGGAAGTGTAAAGGAAGTTTTGTGGATGAGGGGCTTAGACATCCAGCAAGTGTGCGTGAGCATGTTAGATAGGATTGAATGGACACTAATGGTTTTTGGACCTGACAAGCTGTTGGAGTGTGGGGCAGAGTAATATTTTGTGAAGGGATTCAGGGAAAGCAATTAGCTGGACTTGAGTCCTGGAAATTGGAAGTACAATGCCTGCGCTTTCAAGGAAGAGTTTAGGATATTGGCAGTTTGGAGGGATGTCTAAACTGTCATATCTGAGTGCCTCTGCAAAGACAGTGATTATGTATGGGTGATGGTGAAAGTGTCCATTGATGATGAAAGTTTTTTCTTTCTTTTTGGGTTTTCATTCTTTTTGAGTCCCCATGCCTCAGTGGGAAACAGCCGATGTGTTAAAAAAATATATAATTTGAAACAATATAAGGCTCTGCAGTAAATGGGACAAAAGGAAAATGGCAACAGTAAGTATGAGAGAGGTGAAAGCTCATAAACTAAGGGAGGAGGAAGTTAGGGTGAGATGTAAGCAACTTTTGGCATAAAGGTGGGCTAGTGCAAGCATGGGTAGTAGGGGGGTCGAAGAGGGATGGGATAGCTTTAAAACTCCAGTATTAGAATGAGGGGCAGAAGTTTGTGGCTTTTGAGAGGTTTTTACTAGGCAGAAGTGATATAAGAAGGGCTGAGTATATAAAGAGTAAAAGAAAGGTGAAGAGAGTGGTGAGAGAGTGCAAAAGGAGAGCAAATGATAGGAGTGGGAGGGCACTGTCACGAAATTTTGCTGAGAATAAGAAAAAATTTTGGAGTGAGATGAACAAGTTAAGAAAGCCTAGGAAACAAATGGATCTGTCAGTTAAAAACAGAGTAAGGGAGTTAGTTGATGGGGAACTGGAGATATTGGGTAGATGGTGGGAATATTTTGAAGAATTTTTAAATGTCAATGAAGAAAGGGAGGCAGTAATTTCATGCATTGGCCAGGGAAGTATAACACCTTTTAGAAGTGAAGAAGAACAGGATGTGAGTGTGGGGGACATGTATGAAACATTACGTAGAATGAAAGGAGGTAAAGCAGATGGAACCGATGGGATCATGACAGAAATGTTAAAAGCAGGGGGAGATACAGTATTGAAGTGGTTGGTATTTTTGTTTAATAAATGTATGAAAGAGGGGAAGGGTCACCCTGCCTTGGTGGGAAACAACCGTGTTAAAAAAAAAAAAAGTCTCAGCAGAAACCCACTAATTATGCAAATGCATTCTGGGCAAACTAATCATAAGGCTTACATACTACCTATATCTAGATTATATCTGTTCAATGACCTGCACTTTATGGAATGGCTGAATTGAGGTGGCAAAATTAAAGCATGAGAATTTACAGGCAGTTAATGAATATAACAATTTTGAGATTTAATAGGTATTTTTTAATAATATTAGTAAAGGTGTTGGCAGGTACAGAACTTCTGGAATTATCAGGTAATGGGTTCCAAATTTTGGAGCCTCTTATCTACATGGAGTTTCTGAACAGGTCAAGTTGCACACACTGAATGTCAGAGATACAGTGGACCCCGGTTAACGATATTTTTTCACTCCAGAAGTATGTTCAGGTGCCAGTACTGACCGAATTTGTTCCCATAAGGAATATTGTGAAGTAGATTAGTCCATTTCAGACCTCCAAACATACACGTACAAACGCACTTACATAAATACACTTACATAATTGGTCGCATTCGGAGGTGATCGTTATGCGGGGGTCCACTGTACTTGTTCCCTGTACTGTGTCCATATGTTTCTGTTGCAGCTCTCCATATAAGTGTAAGCTCCCCTTTTCTATTCTATGTGAGGGTTATCTGTGTATTATTTCAGTCATGGTATTGTGCCTTTTGTTAATCAGAATTTAAACTCTTAGTTAATATTTGTAATGAGGGTCCTGTAGATCTACATAGCGTGCACAACAGAAAGTATGAATACATATTTTGTTCATTAAGCAAATTTTAACTTTTGAGCAAGGAGGTTGTGTGTTGTTTTGATTCTGAATGCATAATTATTCTAGGAGCTAATATTTGCTGACTAACAAGTTTAAAGGTGATTAATTGTGTTGATCTATTTAGTTCAACATCTATAAAAATAATTAACCAAGTCAATACATTTTTTCGGAGACATGCATATATTAATTGCCTATACACCTTTTTCTTATGTAAACAGAGTTCACATCTTAGTTTTCATTCCAGTTAATCTAGAAAATAATATGTTTAACTAACCTGCCTGTATGATTTGTAGACACGTTCCACACACTCTAGCCTCTTTGTAGTCCATATATGGAAGAGGGGCCTTGTGATGACAACACTGAGCACACAATACTCGCCCACAAGCTCGACAGTGGTGACGTCGGCGAATCACAGTAAACTTTAAACCACATTCTTGGCAATTTGGTGCATCTTCATCAGGGATCCAGAATGGAGCCACATGACCAACAAGACTTCCATTGCTCTCAGTAGGATTAGACTGGCAGGCTGATGCTTCTGCTGCTCCCAAAAGATCACTGCTCCCCTCATCTTCTCTCCCAGAACCACTGTCATCATCGTACACAGCAGTTACCAAAGTCCCTGCAATGAGAACACAGTAATAACCACTCCAATTTTAAAAAATACAACAATGCACATATAAAGTATATTTTACATCCATAAAAACTGGTATTAAGATGCACATTATGTGCATCCATTTATCAACACAGTATCTTCCTTAGTGCTTCATGCACAACTTCTTACACACATCTTGTATATCCTTATGCATCTTTTGTATTTTGTAAGAGCATTTGCAACATATTCCAAAGCTAAAGTCATTTTTTAATACACCAGCTAATTCCCACAAAGGCAGGATGACCTTAAAAAAGGAAAGAGATAATTCCTTGTACTGTGCCCATGTGTTCATGATGTATCAATCACATTCTCAAAGTATATTTTGAATGGTATTTTCCAACTGATGTTATTAATAGAGAATATAGTATATCTCCATGGGGAAGTGGAGAAGAATCCTTCCTCAATAAGCCATGTGTGTCATAGAGGTGACTCAAATGCTTGCCTGACCAAGCACAATATACTTAATCCTTGTCAACTTGGGTTCAGACTGTAAAAGAGTACTATTGATGCAACAATAGGAATGCTAGACAAAGTTTATTCAGCACTTGAGAGAAATAAGTATCCTATTGGATTCCTCACTCATCTACAAAAGGCTTTTGATATGGATGACAACAGTACTCTCCTTCTCAAGCTTAATCACTACGGAGTCAGAGGACAGTTACACACATTCAAAAACTTACCTCAGTAACAGACAACAATATGTAACAATAAATGACAACTCATCCAGTACCTTATGCATAAGCCTTGGTGTTCCCCAAGGTAGCATTCTGGGTCCTCTTCTCTTCCTCATCTATAGCAATGACCTACCTAATACCACCTAGCATTTGAAACCTTAACACTTTGTTAACAACAAACCCTTTTTAATATCAAGCTCAGATCCCATGTCAATTAACATTATAGCAAATAATGAACTTAAAAGAGGTCCTCACATGGATAATTACAAAACTCACCCTCAATATTGAAAAAATCTATATATCTTTTGGAAGTAAACCATGTTCAAATTTTAATACTGGAATCAACAATACTCAAGCAAAAACTACAGGAAAATTCCTAGGTCTAACAGTAGACATCAAACTGAAATTTAATACTCACATCCAACACACACCAACTAAAGTCTCTAGGACTTCAGGAAAACTCTCCAAAATTAGCCATTATGTGCTACAATCCACACTACTAACATTATTTTTTCCTAATCTACCCATACCTCACATATAGAATCTAATCCTGGGGATCCACTTCAGGAACAAACCTTAAACCAACTACAGCTTAACAAAAGGGTGCTCTCGGAACAATTAAAAACTCTATGACTAGGCAACACATGATGCCCTTATTTAAATCCCTGTACCTATTAAATAATAATGTAATTCATACTTACTACTGTTCAATCCACATGTTCAAAACATTGCATTGTAATTATGCTAAATTCTGCAATTCCTAGAAAATTATAACAGAATACATAAGCACCACACTAAAAACAAATAGTGGTACCAACACTCTTACATGGGTGTGAAGCTTGGGTTGCAAATGCTGCAGTGAGGAGGCGCCTGGAGGCTGTGGAGATGTCTTATCTAAGGGTAATGTGTGGTGTAAATATTATGCAGAGAATTCGGAGTGTGGAAATCAGGAGGTGTGGAGTTAATAAAAGTATTAGTCAGAGGGCTGAAGAGGGGTTGTTGAGGTGGTTTGGTCATTTAGAGAGAATGGATCAAAATAGAATGACTTGGAGAGCATATAAATCTGTAGGGAAAGGAAGGCAGGGTTGGGGTCATCCTAGAAAAGGTAGGAGGGAGTGGGTAAAGGAGGTTTTGTGGGCGAGGGGTTTGGACTTCCAGTAAGCACGTGTGAGCGTGTTAGATAGGAGTGAATGGAGACAAATGGTTTCTGGGACCTGACGAGCTGTTGGAGTGTGAGCAGGTAACATTTAGTGAAGGGATTCAGGGAAACTGGTTACTTTTATATAGCCGAACTTGTGTACCGGAAATGGGAAGCACAATGGCTACACTTTAAAGGAGGGGTTTGGGATATTGGCAGTTTGGAGGGGTATGTTATATATCTTTATATATGCTTCTAAACTGTTGTAGCTGGGCACGTCTGCAAAGACAGTGATTATGTGCGAGTGAGGTGAAGGTGTTGAATGATGATGAAAGTATTTTCTTTTTGGGGATTTTCTTTCTTTTTGGGTTACCCTGCTTCGGTAGGAGATGGCCGACTTATTGCAAAAAAAAAAAAATTGTCTTTATATACTTCTTTCAACAAACCAGCCATATCCCACCAAGGCAGAGTGACCCAAAAAGAAAAACAAGAGTTTCTCTTTTTAAATTTTGTAATTTATACAGGAAAGGGGTTACTAGCCTCTTGCTCCCAACATTTTAATGACCTCTTACGATATGCATGGCTTACAGAGGAAGAATTCTGTTCCACTTCCCCATGGAGATAAGAGGAAATAAATAAGAAGATAAAAGAAAACCCAGAGGGGTGTGTGTATATATATATATATATATATACAGTGGACCCCCGGTTAACGATTTTAATCCGTGCAAGAGGGCTCATCGTTATGCGAAATAATCGTTATGCGAATGAATTTTCCCCATAAGAAATAATGGAAATAAAATTAATCCGTGCAAGACGCCCAAAAGTATGAAAAAAATTTTTTTTACCACATGAAATGTTAATTTTAATACACACAAACTGAAAAAGGCATGCACAATTAAATGACACTTACTTTTATTGAAGATCTGGTGATGATTGATGGGATGGGAGGAGGGGAGAGAGAGTGTTAGTATTTAGAAGGGGAATCCCCTTCCATTAGGACTTGAGGTAGTAAGTCCTTTTCTGGGGTTACTTCCCTTCTTCTTTTAATGCCACTAGGGCCAGCTTCAGAGTCACTGGACTTCTTTCGCACAAGATATCTGTCCATAGTGGCCTGTACCTCTCGTTCCTTTATGGACTTGCCAAAAGTGTTTCACAACATTGTCAGTGTAATAATCACCAGCACGGCTTGCAATAGCTGTGTGAGGGTGATTTTCATCCATGAAGGTTTGCACTTCAAGCCACTTAGCACAGATTTCCTTTATCTTTGTAGTAGGCAACTTCTTCAATTTCTCTCTCCCCTCCTCTGAACCAGTTTCCTCAGGTCTGGCCTCTTGCTCTTGAAGTTGATCTATCAGCTCATCAGTGGTTAGTTCTTCATTGTCCTCCTCCACCAACTCTTCCACATCCTCCCCACTAACCTCCAACCCCAAGGACTTTCCCAATGCCACAATGGATTCCTCAACTGGCACAGGATTCTCAGGGTTAGCCTCAAACCCTTCAAAATCCCTTTTGTCTACACATTCTGGCCACAGTTTCTTCCAAGCAGAGTTCAAGGTCCTCTTTGTCACTTCCTCCCAAGCCTTACCTATAAGGTTTACACAATTGAGGATATTAAAGTGATCTCTCCAAAACTCTCTAAGAGTCAGTTGAGTTTCTGAGGTCATTACAAAGCACCTTTCAAACAGAGCTTTTGTGTACAGTTTCTTGAAGTTGGAAATAACCTGCTGGTCCATGGGCTGCAGGAGAGGAGTGGTATTAGGAGGCAAAAACTTCACCTTAATGAAGCTCATGTCCCCATAAAGTCGCTCTGCCACGTCTGTAGGATGACCAGGGGCATTGTCTAACACCAGGAGGCACTTAAGTTCTAATTTCTTTTCAGTTAGGTAATTTTTCACATTGGGGGCAAATGCATGGTGTAACCAGTTATAGAAAAATTCCCTAGTGACCCATGCCTTACTGTTTGCCCTCCACAGCACACACAAATTATCCTTGAGGACATTCTTTTGCCTGAACGCTCTGGGAGTTTCAGAGTGATACACTAATAAAGGCTTCACTTTGCAATCACCAGTAGCATTGGCACACATCAACAAAGTAAGCCTGTCTTTCATAGGCTTATGTCCTGGGAGTGCCTTTTCCTCCTGAGTAATGTAGGTCCTGCTTGGCATTTTCTTCCAGAACAGGCCTGTTTCATCACAATTAAACACTTGTTCAGGTTTCAGTCCTTCAGTTTCTATGTACTCCTTGAATTCCTGCACATATTTTTCAGCCGCTTTGTGGTCCGAACTGGCAGCCTCACCATGCCTTATCACACTATGGATGCCACTACGCTTCTTAAATCTCTCAAACCAACCTTTGCTGGCCTTAAATTCACTCACATCATCACTAGTTGCAGGCATTTTTTTAATTAATCCTCATGCAACTTCCTAGCCTTTTCACATATGATCGCTTGAGAGACGCTATCTCCTGCTATCTGTTTTTCATTTATCCACACCAATAAGAGTCTCTCAACATCTTCCATCAATTGCGATCTTTGTTTCGAAAACACAGTTGAACCTTTGGCAAGAACAGCTTCCTTGATTGTCTTTCTGGTGCCCACAATAGTAGCGATGGTTGATTGGGGTTTCTTGTACAGCTTGACTAGGTCGGCTATACGCACTCCACTTTCATACTTATCAATTATCTCTTTCTTCATCTCTATAGTAATTCTTACCCTTTGAGGTGTAGGGTTGGCACTAGAAGCTTTCTTGGGGCCCATGGTCACTTATTTTCCAGAAACAGCACCGAAAATACTGTAATAATACGAAATATTCCGAGTGTATGCTTGGATGTTACCGCGGAGGCTGGCTGGTAAACAATGGGACGGAGCGGCACATGTGAGGCTGGCTGAGGGCACATTGGACGCGTCTCGGACGAAAATCGGTATGCGGGTTTTTAATCGGTATGCGCGGCAAAAATTTTGCGATAAAAGTAATCGTTATGCGGAAAAATCGCTATGCGATGCCATCGTTATGCGGGGGTCCACTGTATATATATATAATATATATATATATATATATATATATATATATATATATATATATATATATATATATAATATATGTTTTGTACATAAATGTGTAGTGTGATCTAAGTTAAGTATAAGTAGCAAGACGTACCTGAAATCTTGCACGTTTTATGAGACAGAAAAAAGAAGAGCAATCTTACCATCATTGTAACACAATTACAAGCTTCCATTTTACACTCACATGGCAGGACAGTAATACCTCCCTGGGTAATTGCTGTCTACCAACTTACTACTTATTATTATTACTCTTTTTTTTTTTTTCAACAAGTCGGCCGTCTCCCACCGAGGCAGGGTGACCCAAAAATAAAGAAAATCCCAAAAAAGAAAATACTTTCATCATCATTCAACACTTTCACCTCACTCACACATAATCATTTTTTACAGAGGTGCTCAGAATACAACAGTTTAGAAGCATATACATGTAAAGATACACAACATATCCTCCAAACTGCCAATATCCCAAACCCCTCCTTTAAAGTGCAGGCACTGTATTTCCCATTTCCATGACTCAAGTCCGGCTATATAAAAATAACCGGTTTCCCTGAATCCTTTTACTAAATATTACCCTGCTCACACTCCAACAGCTCGTCAAGTCCCAAATACCATTCATCTCCATTCACTCCTATCTAACACGCTCACACATGCTTGCTGGAAGTCCAAGCCCCTCGCCAACAAAACCTCTTTTACCCCTCCCTCCAACCTTTTCGAGGATGACCCCTACCCCCACTTCCTTCCCCTACAGATTTATATGCTATGTCATTCTACTTTGATCCATTCTCTCTAAATGACTAAACCACCTCAACAACCCCTCTTCAGCCCTCTAATATTTTTATTAACTCCGCACCTCCTAATTTCCACACTCCAAATTTTCTGCATAATATTTACACCACACACTGCCCCATTATTATTATTATTATTTTTTTTTTTTTTTTCAACAAGTCGGCCGTCTCCCACCTTAGAGCTACTTTTATTCCATGGATATCTTTGTCTTTGTATACATGTGTGTAAAATTTTTGTCTATCATAATGTCTTATTTAGGTTACAGCTTATCCAAAATGCTCTGCATAACCAGGGGCTTCCCATGTGTGATATCAAATGTCCGCCAACTTTTGTAACAATTATGTATCATGATATCGGCAGTTTGGGGGGATATATTGTGTATTTTTATACGTATATACTTCTAAACTGTTGTATCCTGAGCACCTCTGCAAAAAACAGTGTTTAGGTGTGAGTGAGGTGACAGTGTTGAATGATGATGAAAGTAGTTTCTTTTTGGGGATTTTCTTTCTTTTTGGGTCACCCTGCCTCGGTGGGAGACGATCGACTTGTTGAAAAAAAAAAATGCATCATGAGCAAAATAATAATAATAATAATTATCATTATTATATACTACGTATATGGAATATCTGTCGAGTAATTACTCTTACATCATATCTAACAATTTTAGAATAAAGAACATATATTACAAGTACAACACAAGTTATCTAAAGACAATTTCCTCACCTGGTGTAATCCTTGAGGGAGATTCAGGTTGAGTAATAGGTTGTTGTCGTCTCTCTGGTGAGCCAAGATCTCCATCGGTAAGAGTGCTACTGGAGGACATTGTATCTGTGCCTGTACTATTACATGATAAATTGTCACCTGCATCTCCCTCAGGATCCCTTTCTCTTAAACTTTTACTGACATCACTTTCATTTCTATAGGGATGGCATATCACTTCCTCAACAGCTCCTGCAGCAGGATGATCAGAGAAGCTAATATTTTCCTGGGCAGTAATGTCTGGGTTACTAACTAAGGAGCTATGTCTTTCTTCAATATCGCTGACATGTGTCTGCCACACTGAAGATTCACTGTCTGTAATCTCTTCAATTTCTACCAGGGCACTTGTAGCTTGTGCTTCACTGCTGCCTACATCAACACCTAATGCAGGCTGAGAGGTACTTGTGCCACCTATTAAATCTGGACCAACAGCTAAACTAGCTGTATGAGTTCGGGGAATTTCAGAACTACTGATATCTGTTGTGCTGTCTCCACCACCGCTCAGTGATCTTGCCACACTTCCACCATATGCTCCCTGCAACCGGAACTGTTCTTCTTCCAACTCTGCAAGCTCAGCATCAAGATCTGCATCATCAATATCTGAATTTTTGCTAAAGCTGATGGGAGTAATGCTAACAGAACTTACATCAGGAAGAGATGACTGTGATGGTAGCTGTGGAACCACACTTGCAGCATTAGAGGTCTGAATGTCTAGTCTAGCTATATTATCACAGACTGGGTTTATATGATCCTGGAAAATGCCAGGCTCATCATAAATGCTATGAACACTTTCGCTATGAGGAGCATGGCTCACATCATCCGACGCAGATGCATTACTAATTTCTTCAACTGTGGATGAAGTGGTTTTCACATGACCCTGCTGTTCAGCTGTTTGGTGAACATTTACAACCTCGGGTATTCTACTACAAGAGTGACTTTCCATTACAATGGCAGGTTCATTCAATTGTATATTAGAAAGAGCATTTTCCATAACAATTGCAGGTTCAGAGTATTCTACACCATTGTGTGTTCCTTCACTGGCTGCTGAACTGTCAACACTGTTCACTGCCATGAGATCAGGCAGAAATCTATGTTCCTGCTGTTCCACACCATTAACTGACCCAGTGGCATTTTCATTTCCCACTTCCTGTACTCTTTCCTGGACACCACTGGTAGTTTGCTCATGATCTATTACCTCTGGATGTGCTCGTTCGCTAGGTGGGTGCGCTGATGTACTAGCCTCTGTGCCACTTTGCCATATGTCAATTATATCTGGATGTCTAGTTTCATGCCCACCTGCCAGACCTCGGTCTGGAGGTACACTTAATGGAACGACATCTAAAGGTCTAGATGCAATTACATCAAGTCCTTCACATGGAATATTTTTTCCCAAAGTATCATTTCCTGCATCACCATTTATTGCATTTGCAGAACTGGTCACAGGAAGCCCAGGATTATGATAGTCTGGTGGCATAGCAGGTACACGAGAGCTAACACTACCTGAACCTCCACTACTTAATGGTAATCCAAATTTTTCAGCAGCATATGGCTCAGGTTGAACATTAGGCATAGCAACTTGTGAGAAGGTCCCTGCCGAGGGAGTAGCCATTACTGGCCATAATGCTTGTGAAACAGCAGAATGCTGGTTCATAAGCACATTTCCTGTTCGGGCAGATGAGTCCAAGACATCACCCATGTGTAACTGTGGCACTTGTGATGAAGGCAGTAACTGCACATTAGGGTGGAATGGCAGTAAAGGTGGTGGTTGAGAGCATGCTGCAGGCGGTTCACTGTCATCATTTTGGCCATCTGGTGGGCTCCGTGTTCCAGGTGGTTGGGCCTCTCTGTCAAGTCCCACTCCACACCAAGGTTGAGCAGCAGCTGCAGCTCCAATTGCTTGAGGTTGCAAAGGTTCACTCCATCCACCAAAAGCACCCAGTCCTACACCATGTCTTCCAGAAGCTGGTGGTATAGTGCCCCCCCCACCATCTGGGCAGAATTCCAATTGTAACTTTTCATACTGGTTTACAGATTCACTCTCATCTGAAAAGAAGTATACCATAGAAATTAAAATGTTAATTTATGCAAATATTTAAGAAATAACATATACCTGTTTCCTTAAAAATATGTACAAGTACAGTACATCACATCACATCAAAGGGAGAGAGCAAGCTTATCAGCATATTCACTGAGTACAGTATTTCTCATAATTGTCCAAATATCATTACCCTCGTCTAATTCGAAGTCGTCCAGCACTTTATCAAGATCAACAGCAAACTTCTCCATGATCCTTTCATGCCCAGTGTATTCTGCAAAAAGGGTATTATTAGTTGTACCTTCAAAATATCTAAGAGACAATTAAATATAGGACTGCTCCATGCATATCTCTGCTGGGAAGCAGAGATATGCATGGCCTGGCTTGGTGTGGATAGTACAGCATACTTTGTCTCAAGATGCAAAGGTTTAAGCCTCCTCTTAGATGAGCAAAATGCTCGCAAATAGTTTTTCTTGTTTTGCGAATGATAAGCATTCTAGTACCTCTTGCAAGTCAACACACATAAGAGAGGAAATGAAAAATTAATCACTAGCCAGATGCAACTGGCTCTGGAGCAAACACAGACAGGAAAGCAGGTAGGCAAGCAGGTAGTCAGGCATACATGCACAGAGTAATAGTACATGTGAATTTGACTGCCGCTCGGAAGATTTTAGCAATTAATTATAATTTATAATGTGAAATTGTATAATACTGAGTCGGTTTTACAGACAAGATATTTTGCTGTGCAAATGATAAAAACCCCGTAACTGTGACATACCCAGAAATTAAAATCCATGTGTGTGGGGGGCAAGAATTTCAAAAATAACAAATCTTTTTCTTACAGATTGAAGGAGTGCATTTTTATGAAATGAATAAGACTAAAATGAGTGGTCTCTGATAAAAACTTACGATTTTTAAGGCGTGTTGAAGTTGGCAAAACAATGATCACATATTAGCAACAGTGGTGAAAACGTACCAGCAATTTTACGTTTTATAATCTGACACCAAATTAAAATTATTTTTAATTTTTTATTTTTTAATGTACAATACAGTGGTCCCTCGTTTTTCGTAATTAATCCGTTCCTGGAGCCGTTACTATAAACAAAATTTACGATTTACGAATCAATTTTCCCCATAAGAAATAATGTAAATACAATTAATCTGTTCCTGATACCCAGAAGTATTAAAACAAAAAAAATTTTAACATGAAATATACATGTAGTACATAAACAATACAATGGGAAATGATGAATGAAACATTAACAGCATAACACTTACCTTTATTGGAGATTCTTCTTAGTGTATGGGAGACTGGAGGAGAGAGAGAGAGAGGACTGTTTATAGTTTGGAAGGGGAATCCCCTTCCATCAACACCTCAGGTACCATTTGCTTTTCTGGGGTTCCTTCTCTTCTCTGTTTCTTAATGCCACTAGGACCACCTTGAGAGTCACTGGAGTCCTGTCTCACAAAATAACTGTGGAGAGAGAGCTCTGTTTCTGGCATCTCTTTAACACTTCCCTAAAATGGCCCAAGACTTTGTCACTGTACATGTTGCCAACCTGGCTTGCAACAACCTTGTTAGGGTGATGTTTCTCCATAAAGCTTTCCATCTTACCCCACATAGTAAAAATCTCTTTAATTTCTGAAGAAGGCACCTTCTTCCATTTCTCTTCCTCCTCCTCTGCAGCAAGATTCTGAGCTGCGATGTGTTGCTCTTCCTGCTGAAGCTCTTGCAGCTCCTCAGTGGTGGGGCTCTTCATTGTGGTCTCCACCAAATTTTTCCACATCCTCCAAACTCACATCCAACCCCATGGAACTCCCCAGTGCCACAACTGATTTTACAACAGACATAGGCTCATTAGGGTCAGTCCCAAATCCTTCAAAATCCCTCTTGTCGACACAATCTGGCCACAATTTTCTCCAGGCAGAGTTCAAAGTCCTGGTAGTCACTCCCTCCCAAGCCATACCTATAAGGGTTATGCAGTGGAGGATGCTGAAGTGTTCTCTCCAAAATTCCCTTAGGGTCAAGTGAGTGTCTGTGGTCACAGCCCAAGCACCTGTGAAACATTGCTTTTGTGTAGAGTTTTTAAAGTTTGCAATAACCTGCTGGTCCATGGGTTGGAGGAGAGGAGTGGTATTCGGGGGCAAGAACTTTACTGTGATGAACCCAACTCTCGAAAATTAGGTCATCCAAGTTGGAGGATGAGCAGGTGCATTGTCCATTACTAGCAGGCACTTGAGATCTAATTTCTTTTCCAGGAGATACTCCTTCACACTAGGGCCAAACACTTCATTGAACCACTCGACGAAAATTTCCCTCGTGACCCATGCCTTACTATTAGATTTCCAAAACACACACAATTACTCTTCAAAACATTGTTTTTCCTGAACACTCTGGGATTTTCAGAATGGTACACTAGTAATGGTTTTCACTTTGAAATCCCACTAGCATTAGCACAGAACATTAGCGTCAGCCTGTCTTTCATAGGCTTGTGTCCTGGCATTGCCTTTTCCTCTTGTGTAATGAAGGTCCTCTTTGGCATTTTCTTCCAAATGAGGCCTGTTTCATCACAACTGACACTTGTTCAGGTTTCAGTCCTTCAGCCTCTATGTACTCCTGGAATTCATGCACATATTTTTCAGCTGCCTTGTGGTCCGAACTGGCAGCCTCACCATGCCTTACCACACTGTGTATGCCAGTACGGTTCTTAAATCTCTCAAACCAGCCTTTGCTGGCCTTAAATTCACTCACTTCACCACTATTTGCAGGCAATTTCTTTACCAAATCTTCATGCAACTGCCTAGCAAATAATCAAAGTCATAAGAGTATCTCCTGCTAATTGTTTCTCATTTATCCACACCAATAATAACTTCTCAACCTCTTCCAGTACTGGCGATCTCATTTTTGTCAGCATAGTTACTCCCTTTGCAACAACAGCATCCTTTATTTCCTTTTTCTTGGCCACTATGGAACATAAGGTTGTGTAGGGTTTATTATACATCCTGGACAGTTCGGCCACACTTGTACCACTTTCATATTGTTCAATGATGGTTTTCTTAAATTCAATCGTATTTCTCACCTTCTTTACCACAGGCTTGGCACTAGGAGCTTTCTTTAGAGCCATGGTACCTATTTAGTACTTGCAAGCACTAAAATAAATGGAATATTTTGAAATATTTTGCTGGAGCACATGAGGGGACCTTCGCTCACTGGTAAACAATGCCAGACTGGCTGCCGCCCCAGCTCACGCCGTGGGTACGCGTCCCAGACGAACTACGACTCGCGAGTCAACCTATGAAAAGCGAGTCCATGTTTATACGAAAATACCCCTATGATTGGCGAATTTTACGATTGTCGGGAACTATGAAAAGCGGGGGACCACTGTACAGTACTTCCTAGGTAGTATGTTGGTAGACAGCAACCGCCCAGGGAGGTACTACCGTCCTGCCAAGTGAGTGTAAAATGGAAGCCTGTAATTGTTTTTACATGTGGTAGGATTGCTGGCATCTTTTTTTTTCTGTCTCATACACATGCAAGATTTCAGGTACATCTTGCTACTTCTACTTACACTTAGGTCACACTCCACATACATGTACAAACATATATATACACACCCCTCTGGGTTTTCTTCTATTTTCTTTCTAGTTCTTGTTCTTGTTTATTTCCTCTTATCTCCATGGGGAAGTGGAACAGAATTCTTCCTCCGTAAGCCATGCATGTTGTAAGAGGCGACTAAAATGCCGGGAGCAAAGGGCTAGTAACCTCTTCTCCTGTATATATTACTAAATTAAAAAGAGAAACTTTCGTTTTTCTTTTTAGGCCACCCTGCCTTGGTGGAATACGGCTGGTTTGTTGAAAAAAAAAAATACAGTACTTTCTTATTATGTGTTTCAAGGTGTCCTTGTACTTCAAACATGGAAAAATGCACAGCCTGACACTGCTTCACATGGAATATACACAAGGAAATGATGTTTTTTTCCTATCTTTTACTGCTTTGGTCTTCCAGCACTATATCCAAGGAATACCTATGATAATTGTTTCAAGGTACACTACCCCCTCAAAACACAAAAATAAGTCACAATGATTGTACTGGGTTATCCTAGGTTAATCATTTATGTTACACAGAGTTACAGATACTATTACACACAGTCGCTCATTTGCTTGGAATTACAAATGATGTAGCTGAAGTTTTGGCAGTAAAGATGCAAAACCTTGTTATTGTAGCTGCATACTAGCCTCCTGATGCAACTTCCCAACAATTCATGGAACAGCTTTTGAAAATTGACTACTGTCTGGAAAGTCTCCCAACTCCTGAACCAAACATATTGCTGCTGGATGATTCCAACTCAAAACACCTAAAATGGAGGAATGTAGCAAATAATGTTTTAGCAGAGATAACCCCAGGAGGTAGCTCTGATGAAAATTCACACACACACATGAGCTATTAAATCTCTGCAATAAATTCACCTTAAGCCGGCAAATAGTGGAGCCATCAAGAGTGGAAAATACACTCTTCACTAATAATGATAACCTGGTACAGGTCCACAACCCTTTATCCAAAATTCTGAAATTGGAAAAGTTCCGAAAACAGAAGTTTTTTTGTGGAACGTGGAACGTCAATCATCTCAGTGCTGGGTCACGCCGCCACGTGGCGGCGTTAAGAATCATTCTCAACTTCGAAAAATTCTGAAATTTGAAACAATACTGGCCCCAAGGGTTTTGGATAAAGGGATGTGAACCTGTATGAAATGTAACAGTATCAAAGACAATACGCTTAGATCATAACATAACAAAAGTACAGACATGTATGCACAGGGTTCCTGACCAGCAAAAGGAGATCAACTTCACCAAATTCAACTTCAATAACAAAAACATACAGTGGGATCAGATCAGCCATGTCCTAAATAAAACAAGCTGGGAAGATATCCTAAACAACACAGATCCGAACCTTTGCCTAGAAAGAATTAACTCTGTGGCACTTGAGGTATGCTCAAGGCATATTCCTTTAAGAAAAAAGAAAAGAAGATGTAAACTAGAAAGAGACGATCCCTATACAGGTGAAAGCAAAGAATCACAGAGCTGCTAAAAGGGGCCAGTATATCGGAAAGCCAAAAGGAGGTACTGGTCAGTGAAACAGCAAACATCAAACTTAAGCTTAAGGAATTATACAGGAGACAAGAAACACAGGAAGAACTTCAAGGCATAAATGAATGAGAAAAAAAAATACAGTAGACCATTATACTACACAGTAGTTTCGTTCCTGAAAATGCAGC